CGCGCAGGACCTGACGACCCTCGAGCTGAACATGATAACAACCCCAAACACACCTCCACAAAGACCAGTGCCTTGCTAAATAAACTGAAGGTAAAGGTACTTGAGAATCGTCTTGCTGTTGCTCATGATTTACCCTGCACCAGTCCATCAAACTTCTGCTAGACATAAGACTTCGAGACGATAGTCATCGAAGACCTTTAGCACTTGTGCGAGGTATCCCGTTCGGTAGAGTGAGCTGACATTCCATGTCCCGATGCGAGTTAATATCCTTGCGTTGAGGAATGGTCGATCCATCGAGGGACGGACGGTCACAAGGCTTTGATCCGTCCCCGCGATTGACCTTCCTCTTCGCTAATGGCTTGTTGGTTTTCACTTGTCGTTTCTGTAGCACAACAGGTTTTTACAAGAAGGTGTTGCTAGCCCCGACCTAACCCTCCTTTATCCGGGCTTGGGACCGGCACTGGGAAGCGAGCTATCCAGAGGCGGAGTACCTATGTCCTACGGCATACCAGAGATGTTCATTAGCCTCCTGAGAAACATCTACCACGAGTCAAGCTGTTGTGTCCGTACAGATAGTGGGATTTCGGACTTGTTTGAGATCAAGACGGGAGTCCAACAAGGCTGCGTTATTTCGCCATTCCTTTTTTGTGCTAGCTGTGGATTTCATCATGTGACATGCCCTGCGAGATGGCGAGCACGGAGTTCAAGGAAATGACAGATGACGAATTGCAGATCTTGATTTCACAGATGACATTGCGCTGCTTGGATCTACTCAACGCTCCAATTGCGATTTGACCGCCATACTGGAAAATGAAGCGTCAAAGTTTGGACTGCGGATTAGCGCTGCGAAAAGCAAAGTCATACGGATCAGTTATGCCAGAGCGAATACTCCGGTACTCGTCGGCCACTGCCCGCTTGATGAAGTCAATCAGTTCATGTATCTGGGCAGTGTGATAACACGGTGGCTCAGACAAGGACATCGTCTGTTGGCTCGGAAAGGCAGCATCGGCCATGCACAACTTGAGTTTGGAGATTGACCACCATCTCGATATCATCTAAAGTCCGTTTGTTCAATACGATAGTTGTACCGATGGCTATCTATGCGAGTGAAACATGGAAGTCAACGGCAACAATCATCCGACGACTGAATGTTTTCCAACAGCGCGGCCTCCAATGGATCCTCAAGATTTCGTATCGAGATCATGTTACCAACAAGGAGGTACTTCAGCGCACTGCCTCACGACCGCTAGCGGACATGGTATTGGAGCGATGATTCCGTTTTGCCGGTCACGTTCTTTGCCAACACCCGGAACGATTACCAAGACAGCCATGTCGTGGAGACCCGCCAAGGGTTCACAGAGCCATGGACAACCAAAACAGACATGGAGACGGTCATTCATTGAGGACCTGAAAGGGGTCGATCTTTCATGGGACGAGGCTGAAGGTGTGGCTGCAAACCAAGCTTGTTGGCGATCCCTTGCCGCCCAATGCGCCATGCGGCGCAGGAGGAACTAAGTCTAAGTCTAAGCTAAAGGTACTTGACTAGCCAAGCATGTCTCTAGACTTAAACCCTATTGAGCGTCTGTGGGGCATCCTCAAATGGAAGGTGGAGGAGTGCAAGGTCTCTAACAACCACCAACTCCATGATGTCATCATGGAGGAGTGAAAGAGGATTCCATTGGCACCCTGTGAAGCTCTAGTGAACTCCATGCCCAACAGAGTTAAGGCAGTGTTGGAAAATAATGCTGCTCAGACAAAATATTGACATTTTGGGTACAGTTTGGACATTTTCACGTGTTCTCACTTTTGTTGCCAGCGGTTTAGACATTAATGGCTGTATGTTGAGTCATTTTGAGGGGAAAGCAAATAACACTGTTATACAAGCTGTACACTGACTACTTTGCATTGTATCAAAGTGTCATATCTTCAATAGTGTCCAATGAAAGGATATAACAACATATTTACAAAAATGTGAGGGGTGTACTCACTTTTGTGAGACACTGTATATAAAGGCCCCCACGGAAATAAAAATAATAAAAAGCACAGGGGGAAAAACAACAAAAATATAACATATGCCTAAGGTGTTTAATAAAATTCATGATGGAAACCATGTCCTGGCTAACAGTACATTTGTATGTATATTCAAGTTTTAAAAAAAATCACTCATAAAGGGTTGTATAGCTCAAGAGGGATTATAAAAGTTGTGCAATAAAAACAAAATTCATATTGCTGCTGTAGACTTCTCCAGAATTTTCTTTCTCCCACACACAAACTGAAATCAGCTGATTGTAGCACAAGTACACATGAAGAAAAAGCATGTTTGTCTGAGGTTTATTCCTTTATATCCACTTGTTGTTCAGATACTTGTGTTACTAAGGTTCCTCAGTTACCAGAATTAAAACTAATGTAATTACTGAATTTAGTACAGTAGCGTGATACTGCAATACTGAAAAATGTAATGGGTTACATGTAACTTTGTAACGTGTTAATTTGTTACTTTGTAATGCATTGTTTAGCTATATGATATAGTTTAAAAATTGAGAATGACAAAACTGAGAATTCTGAGACAGCTGAGGTTTCGCATTCTGGCTTCTGTTTACCTTTTTCAGGCAGCTGCCCCCCACGGATGGACAATGTGATAAATGTTGTGTTGAAAGAGCTGTAACTTCACTGTGACACAAAACACAAGCGAAAGAGAGCTTTATTTTGAATTTAACAGAAATTAGCAGTAAACAAATTGGAACAAGAAAACAGTTGAAAGACTAACTTTTGTAGATTTTAATTTAGCATTGACATGATAAATAAAAAATTTTCACACAATGAGTAATTAACAACAGTATCCAAGACTGCATGTATTGAAATCAGTATTAATCTATTTAGTTTGATTCTAGTGAAAATGTGCAATATGTAGTCGAAACAGTAAAACAGATGATTAATTTTAGTTTATCAAGAGCTTATTTCATGTTAATACATTTTGAAGGAAGTAGTTTGTATCAGTTTGTATCACTCACAAAAACCTGATTAAAAGTCATTCGATTTTTAATATTCTGATTACATTTCATATCTAGTCTCAATCATATAGTTAAGATTTAAGTAAATTTAACATTTAAACATTTAAAATACCCAAACTACATTTATTGATTCTAACCGTCCACATTAAAAATATAAAAAATCCCTACAGTCCCTACAGTCACAGAAAAACTTGATATCTGAATCTTTCACATGTTCAGATTGGCTGGTCATTTCCTGGAGTTGCTTGACTAGTAGCGCTGGTGTTGGTGTAATCGTCATCATCTCTCTTCTACAATCTGTATTCATAAATAAAGTTTATTAGTCCCAGAGTTATGAAGTGTAATCTGATCTCAGGGCTCTGACAAGATCGACAGTTTTTAACTGCAGCCTTCCTGCTTGCACTTGCATCATTTCGCTTATTATATAGTAATACCTGTTGTAACTACTGCAGTCTATTTGATTTGATAACAGCATGTTTTCAGTTATTTTGTAAGTGATTTATTGCCAGCAACTGATTTATTGAGAGCTGTTAATTACGGATTTTATTTTCTTCCAAGAAAGAGCACTATGCATATTATCATTAGAAGACAGCATTTCCCAGAATCCTTTGCAGTTGAGATGGCGCTCATGTTTAGCTAGAAAAAGAAAAGTTTGCCATTATATATTTTGCTCTGATGTTGGGCAGTTTTTTGTGTGGTACACCCTTTTTTTGAACTCTCATATAAAGACTATCTTGTCTATAACTGATGTCCTGCTCATTTTCTTTGCTAGGTGGATTTTCTACAACAATGCTAATCAACGCAATAAAATAGAATAAAGTAGTACCTCAAGGTTATTGTCCTTGCACCACCTTTTGAAGAATTCTTTGACTTTTTTTTCTTTCTCTTCTCTCTCTTCCCCTTGTAGGGTTTCATTGTTCTTCCAGTAAACCCGAAACATGTCATCAGAAAAACAATCTAGGAGAAGCTTGGACACCTGACATCAGAGACAGCAACATAAAATCACATAATACACAGCCAAAGTTGTCTTATGGAGATACCTAAAAAAAGAACACACAGCTCATGAAAATAAAGGATGTAGTTCTCACCTTTGATTTGGGGATTAGTTCTCCTTTATCTGGGTTATTCTTGCGATAGAAATATGCTTTTTCTAGAGGGTCCATATTTTTCATCCCATAGTCAAAAGGGATGTGCTAAAATGAAATGTTACAGCGAAACCTGTGTTTTATATTCACATGCAAATAATTGCCCAGTGCAGGTTGGACACATATTTTTAAAAAATTGAACATTTTAAGAAATGTTTGATGGATTAATAAAACTCACAATAACGTCAAAATCTTTTCCCTCCCTATAAGGAAACTGTTTACACAGTTCTTCTCTCAAATTTTCCTTGAATTCCTGAAGGATGGAGTTGAGAACGTGTGTTATTATTATTATTTTGTTGATCTTCTTTTATAAGCCGTTCTCTTTCTTACCTTCCAGTTTTCTGTTCCTTCTTTTTTCTTTAATTGAGAAGCAGTGGAAAGGGAGAGAGAAAAAAGGATTTATTCAGTGCAGAAAACACACAGAAAGGACAATTACATGAAACTACATTTTTAAAGAGAATCTATTTTGTACTCAATTTCTCTATTTCTATTTCAAACAGAATTTTTGTAATACACCAAATTTGAACTGTTCCAAAACTTTTTTTAAATATTGATTTACAGCTTCGTGTTTTAGTGCATACATGGAAAATAACTTTTGGAAAATAGTATTGTATGCCTTCCTTGTTCCCAGAGGGCCGTGTGATAAGGCAGTGTCAGAATAGCACACACCATATGCTATCATCAACCTCTAAGGCTGATCTCATGGTATTGGGTCTCGGACCCAGTGTTTATGTTTTGATAAAATAGTATTCTTTGATTTAATAATATTTTTGGTTCTGTTCACCTGTCTTCCCTGTGTCCATGTCTCATGTGTAGTCTGTCATGTCTCTCATGCATGTTTAGTTCTGCCTCTGTGTTTGTTTCAGCTGTTTCCCAGTCATGTCTCTTGTGCCCTCTGTTATATATGTTCAGTCAGCCCGTGTCTTAGTGTGTGTCTTTTGTTTCCTGTTTTACTTGACAGTCTCATGCGTGTTTAGTGTATTCAGTTTTGTTTCTTCCGCGCCATTGTGTCTGATTAGTCCCAGCTGTGTTACCCTCCTGTGTCTCTTTCCCTCATTATCCTTTGTGTATTTAAGCCCTCTGTTTCCCTCTGCCCATTGTCATGTCGCTGTGTGTTTCTTCCGTGCTCCTCGGTTCCCTCATCACTCCCTGTTCCAAGTTTTAGTTTCTAATTTCCGAATTTTGTATTTAGCTTGTGCTCTACGTATCCAGCAATAAAGCTGCCTCTTTTCATTCATTATGTTGCGTTAGGAGTCCTACATGGGTCCTCATGCTCCCTGCGACACAGCTTACCTTGACAACTGATTTTGTTTTTTGTTTTTTTTCCCTAGTAGCAGCTTGGTTATGATGAACTTATTAATTTTTTCCCTTCAACTCATGCTTTCCCAGTTTCAACTAAGGAAAATAATATTGTAGGTTTTGTTGATGAATCATCAAAGATTACAAGACTGCACGAAACAAGCCCAGACATGTCTGAGAGCAAGCAACACTGCTTCATCCTCTGATGATGATTTAGACTGTCTTACATGCACATGGCTTTTTTGGTGTAAGCAGCAATTTCTGTGCATTCTGGCCTTTTGTTGAAATGTAAATGATTCTGTAAACTTCACTCTCTTTGTATTCATGGATTTTCCAGTAAACCCTAAGTATCTCATCAGAAAACTAGGAGAAGCCTGACATCAGAAACAGCAACATAAATATGACACATTACACAGCCAAATTTGTCTCATGGAGATGCATTAAAAAAAAGAACACACAGCCCATGGAAATAAAGCCTGTAGTTATCACCTTTGACTTGAGGATTGGGATATATTTATAATGGTTATTCTTGTGATTGAAATATGCACTTTTAATACAGGCACATAAAAACTGCATACCCTGGCTTGACCCACACAGCGGTACAGGTCCCGTTTCATGACCCTCTGTAGAATCTTTGTTGCCTTCTTCAAGTTTTTTTCTTCCTCCCCTCCTTCCATGGAGGAAGATTCCTTCTTTTCCTCCTTGGGGTGGCACATTTTTTCAATCACATGATCTACAGAGTAAACAGATAAATTGGAAGATAAGTAAGTTCAAACACGAAACAGCTCACAAAGTCATCAGTAGGGTCTTACAAATTTTTGTTTTTACATAAATTTGTATCACAAAAAACCCCTAACTGGATGATTATAGCAACATTATTAAATATAATGAACATAGTAAAGATCCACTGCAGATAAGACTAGTTTAAATAAATATGCAGTCAAATTAATTCAATAGTGTCAGTCAAAAGGCACATAGTTCTGTTTGTGTTGTCCATAATCTTTAACAATTTGTATCTGTATTTGAAGATGGTTTATCTGAAATAAACTGAATGAGAAAAAGAAAAACTGTCACAGTTAAAAAAAAAAGTGCATGCAAAGACAATTTATAATTTATCCACACAGATTAAAGACGCTACCTGTCAGCTTTATGTATGCTTCCATGTCACCTTTAGCTTCAGAGAGAGAAAGCCACTCCCCTTTTGAACTTTTAATTTTGAAGTCTGGGTGGTCATCTACTAGTAAGAAGGCATCTCTGATCCTGGATATATAATTACCAAACATATGACTTCAGGGGCACAACTGCATATAAAGCTAAATTTTGGGTAGTATTAAAAATGGAACTGTAGGTACTCACATCATTTCTACAGCCATTTTTATCTTGTGCTTGCAGGCTCTTCTGTGGATAGAGAGCCTTGTGTGGAATATGTCATAAAGATTTTCTATTTCCTGTTAACAGCAAAGTTTAGTCATTGCCAGTCAGTTAAAATAATTTCTTTTAAAAAATTGATTAAAAAAAAAAAAAACAGAGGTCAATACTTTGTCTCTAGAGCAAACGTGTTTCCGTCCATCCTCCTCCACATCACACACCCTGGCAAGCATGATGAAGCGCTGATGGTCAAAGCTGTTCGGAATCCCCAGCTGTTGGCAGTCCCTGAGATGGGAGAGAGGAACCATTGAAACATTGCCCCCACAAAAAACCCCACCAAGTCTGCTTCAGATAGTAAATCTAACTATCTGTATACAGAAAACAGTACAAAGTACTTTTGCATATTGCATCAAAAACAGGATTTTTCTTTTGTGAAGTAAGCTTCACCTGGCAACGTAGTCAAACTTGTCAACATCAATCCCAGTTTCCTTGTTTGACACAATTTCATAGAGAAAGGATTTTTCCTCCTTTCGACCTTTGTACGACCACTGTGGAGACAAAGCCAGATGAGAAACATTAGACACTGAGTTCGGGAGCAAAGACAATACTTAATTCACCCAACTGACCTTCGGAGGTCCTCTGATCAGTTCCTCAATGAACTCCAGGTCAGTTTTATCGTCGCCTTCTATTTTCATTCCATACTCCCTCATCATGTCCTTCAGGCCGTCTGTGTTCTCCAGTAGGTGATTAAACATTTCAATAGAGGCATCCTCATGCTGCAAGAATACACAGGTGGGTGTTTTAGTGGGAGCAGATTAAAGTGAAAAAAACAAAACAAGCATGCAAATATTATATA